GTCCCTCTAACATAAGAAGAAGATCGTGCCACGGTATTATTTGGGGGCTCCAGCGAAAGTCGTTTAGAAAGTCTAATGAACATTGCGAGTCTGTTCAGGTCTCAATTCCCTGAAAACGCTACGAACAATCGAAAAAGATTATCATTACGTCTAATTAACACTTTCATGGCGTTGTCCTCATTTCTGTAACCAAATGCAAACAGGTAATAACACATTTTGATGTCGCTTCCCTTTTTTTTTTTGTCTCCCGCCAATTGTTGTTAGGTCCCAGGTGGTCTCGTTCTCAACATTACAGTTCATCATGTGGGCCTGTAACGCAATTCTCATCCTCAGACAACCGTGGACGTACTGTCTTGGAAATTTCCCCCGTGCCCCCGTGCAATGTTGGAGATATCAGCGCAATCGATGGACACGAATTTCTACCCCAACACTGAACTGAGGGGAAGGGGGAATTTTTCCAACATTTGAGACCAAGGTTGTAGGTCTATAGTTATTTGGATTAGTTTTGATGTCATCCTTGTAAATAGGAGAGACTGGCTACCTTCCAATCATCAGGAAATGATCTAGCCTCTAGAAAAATCTAGTTTCGGGAAAAATCTAGTCTCGGGAAAACTTCAAGCCCCAAAACATTGGGCTTTACTTGGTGTAGAAGACAAAATTAAAGTAAAACAATAGAGAACAAAAGGCCGGACAAACGAAGGGCGAATACAATGAAAACAATAGATTTGTGAAGCGGTCTTCTACTGTGTCTTCTCGGTATATCAAGAAGGAGCCAAAGTTAGTAAACTGTTTAAAAAGCATATATATCAAAGAAAATCTGAAAACGAAACATAGTTTCAAAACGAAAGCTACGACGGAACACCACAGAACTAAATGTCACTATGATAGAAACAGCAAATTTCAACTTGGTTCTGATTTTTCTTTTAATTTGACGTAGCTATAATATGCTGAGCTTTAAGTATTGTAGTATAAAATGTCTTAAATTCCAGCTAAGCATTGTCAATGCATTTGAGAACGCACACGAAATTGAAGGAAGATGGAAGTTTGTCAGCAAAACTCCACACAAATTCAAATCGGCAAGAATGCATTACTGTCCAGAGATGTTTGACATCCAGAGATTTCATGCGCTAGACGAATAAGTGTCAAATTAGCTATTGTGTTGTAATAACTGCTCCAAAAAGGACTGAAAATTTTCAGATGTGTATCATAAGGGTCACTTCATAGCGTCACAGCCAAATTTCTTGCACTCCTGGGATACCTTAATTTAGAATAAGCGACCTTGTCACTTTGGGCGCATCTAGTATGATTAACGATTACAATATAATAATATTAACCCTTTAAATACCAAACTTTCGCCAAAAAATACCGTTTTTAACCGTTTAGTTTTTTTGTTTTGTTTTTTTTTTTTGCCATTAACCGTTCTCAATTTCATTTGTTGGCCCTTTCCTTTCTGTTTTTCTCGGCCCTTTTACACTGGCTACCTTAACATTTAAATTGATGACGTCACAAGTGGTACAAAGAGCACGACCATTAATTATGCATATATGCGTAGTTGGTATTCAAAGGGTTAAGTCATAATAATAGGAACTGCTCTAACGTTTGGTGATGTCCTCTTAAAATGAGGCAGTTATGTATTGTGATCAACTCTCAACAAGTTATACCCAGATGTAATGCTAAAAACAAGAAATACACTTCATGCAACTTTAGGAGGATCGTTTACACAAAAATAAGTCATCGCCATACATACGAGACATAGAGGCAGCTTACATTTCAATGGCCTAGGAAAGCGTGCAAAAACTTTTTTATGTGTGGGTGGGAGTTTATTATCACGTGCGAGGATTGATTTCATTGGACAACAGCCGAATACTTGTTTTTACTGTTCTTAGTACAACAAACATTTGTCTCAAAATGATTAGGCTCTCTGTCAAGAATCTAAATTTTAGAAGTATGTTTATCGCTTAGCCTGGTCACGAATCTTGAAACATATGTTCAAATGCCTATTGCATATGTGTAACGTTATAAATCAACCACCAAGTGTCGCTGATTTGTACAAATTTTGCTCCTTTGATAACAAACAAAAAAAAGTAACGTTTTAGCGAATGTTTTTTCATGAGGGGATAAACAACTGAGTAGTTCAGCGATAGCAGTATTTAGGTAGCAAGATACAATAGAGCTTACAGCGTAATGCGGCCTGCCAAGTGGACTATAAAATCACACTGCAAATCACGCAGCTAAATAATTCTCTGATGTTTAGCTGTAAAGAAAGCAGAGGTTGATATAATAGTAGAGTAAAGTAGTTGCATAACAAATATATACTATTATTAACCCGTGCAAAGTCGTGTGCTTAATTTTTGCATGCAATTTGCTGATAATACCGTTTTCTATGACTTTTGGTCTTTTGCACACAGGGAACCTTATTGAAGAAAGCATTGCGGCTCTTTTTGAGAAATGGGGGAAAGAGGGATGTTGAAACCAGGAAGTAAAGGTTGAGGAACGACTACGGAAAAATATTGCGACAGTCTGATTTATGAAAAAAAAGTCTGCAATCAGAAAGTATGGCAAGGAACGTACGGTAACCAGAAGTATAAGATACAAACCGGGAAATGCAGAATATTTCTGGCTCGCTTTTCGGCAGGAGTCACATTTTTTATTCCTCTCCCTCTTGGCCTCATTACGTGGTAGCTCTACAATAAGAAAAAATAAACAAAGTAAGAATACAGAAGGATGAGAGCACGAAACCAAAAAAGGACTATTCGTTTGATCAGTATATTATGTACGTTGCTTGGCTGATTGGTTTTAGTTATAATACATCGCACCTACTGCGGAAATAGTTGCTTCAAGAAGGACAACAAAACATCACCTTATTAATTACTAAGAACAGTGTAAACAAGCTGGCAACAAGCTGAAGACTCCTGCCAACTCGGCGCGTCTCGTTGCCTCTATTTCACTCACGATCTCAAACATTTCAGCAAGTTTTAGTAAGGCGCCTACTGGACTCGATGGCATTATTAAAAACATTATGTAGCTCGTGCTTCAATAATCTGTGTTCATAAGACTACATTTCCGCTTAGTAATAACGTGTGAAAAACCAGAGACCGCAGAACGAATTCTTGTCGGTTGCGGAAGGCGCAACGTTCTTATTTTGCGGTCTTCAGTGCGGTTAGTATATGAGTTGTAAGAGCATGCAGTTTGCCTGTCGATTAATTAAGGTAATTACCTAATTAGTTTTATAGAATTGATTCGTCAAACAAGTTAACTTACTTTCAATATGCTATCGGCGTGAAGAAGGGGCAGTGCTGTGCACTCTCATGATCCTTACTCAGTTTTCAAGTCACAAAAGGTACCCTCTTAAACGTGTGAAGGTTACCGCTTTTATCCAGCTAAA